CAAACAGAGCCCCTGACAACATGAAGCTTACCTTCTAGTGAGGAAGAAGGAAGCGAGCAAATTAGGGTGTTCATCTACTCCAGGGAGCAATAGGGAAATGGGTAAATGGCGGTGCTTGAGGTCAGGGGAAGGAGGGCTTGTTACTTTATGTATCAAAGAAGGCTCTCCGGTCAAGTGACACCGGAGGGCAAAGAGCTTATCGAGGGAAGAACGTTCCAGGCATAGTTCATGGCAAATGCAGGAGCCCTGAGGTGAAGGAGCAAGGAAACCCTTGTGGCCGGAGCTCAATAAAAGACGAGAGCTGAGGTTAGAAGAGGGGTGAGGGCCAGCAGACCTTCGCCAGCCCTTGAGATCCGCCTCGAGTCATTGGGAGAGCAAGGGAAGGTTGTGAGTGAGGAATGACGTTATTTGACTCACGTTTTAAATGTGGAAACAACCTGAATGTCCATAATGGATGGACGAATGGATAAACAAAATGCGGCATGCATATATACACGTACAAATGGAACATTATTCGGCCTTAAAAAGAAATGCAATTCTCTGACACCTGCTACAACCTGGCTGAACCATGAGGACAGTATGCTGAGTGAAATGAAGCCAGACACAAAAGGACAAATACTGTATGGTTCCACAGATACGAGTGACCTAAGTAGTTAATTCATAGAGGCAAAAAACGAAATGGTGGGGCACCTGGGTGGCTCTGTCAGTCGAGCGTCCGACTCTTGATTTCAGTTCAGGTCAGGATCTCACGGTTGGTGGGTTCAAGCCTGGGATCAGGCTCTGCACTGACAGTGCGGAGCCTGCTTGGGATTCTCTCTCTCTCCCTCTCTCTCTATCCCCTCCCCTACTCACACACTCTGTCTCTCCTTTCAAATAAGTAAATAAACAAGAAGGGAAGGGAAGGGAAGGGAAGGGAAGGGAAGGGAAGGGAAGGGAAGGGAAAGAAAAGGAGAGAAGAGGAGGGGAGGGGAGGGGAGGGAAGGGAAAGAGAACTTTTAGAAAATAGATGGTGATCTCACGGGTTAGTCCACCGGCAAGGGTTCTATAAGATTTACAAACACACAGGCAAATGAAAAATTATCCTAGAGTTGTCCCCCGGTTAGCCATGGGCACAGGAATGTCTGCATCCATTCCATCCAGAGGCTTTGGAATTGGGAGAGGGAGAGAACTGTGGGGGTGGGGGGGGCGGGCAGGGGCAAAACAGAAGTTTGTTGCAGGCAGCAAGGACAATACGGAAGAGGACAGGACTGCAACAAGATGCTCAGAGAAGCAGAGAGCAAAGGGGACTCGAATGCCAGGCACAGGGACAGTGAGGTACGCAAACGGTCAGGGACAGCTGATGACAGCTTTGTTGACCTAGAGCAAGTGCCCACGGTAAACAGTCCCAGGCGAGGCCGATGAAAGGGCATAATGGCAACAGCTCACACTTACTATGTGTCTAAGCACCATCTAGGGACCAAGGGGCTCCATCCACGCGGCCGCCATGTAAGAGGAGTCGCCCAATCATCCCACCAGGATTTCACAAATGAGGACACTGGAACTTCCCAAGCTCAGAGTTTGGGCAGGAACAAGGATTCGACCCCAAGCAGTGCAGTCCCAGAGCAGGGCTACACGGCTCCTGGTGCCAGACAGCGTGACCTGTGACACTGTGGCCAATTTCCCAGGCTTCCACTTGAGCCCTTAGGACACTGTGTGACCGGGGAGATGCCTCGACTGAAAAGCCCCCTGGCTGAAACCTCACGGTCGTATCTCAAAGCGCAGCAGTGGCTTTCTGGTCACACCCGCTGATCTGCTTCCCGAAACGCCTTTATGACCACAGTTGACAGCCCGTGTTGCCGCGAGGAAGCAAACACAAGTTGTGTGCCGTTCAAGCGTGTTTTTAACTATTAAGGGAAAGGGCAGAATCCTCCGGAGGAGTTGATTTAGAGAGAGCCGGAGGCTCCTGGCAGGGGCAGAAAAGGTTCATTTCCGGCATCCCAGTGAAGTCATGTTGACACAAAACTCAGCTTCAAAGTCCATGAAAGTGCGGGACATAGAAGTTGGTTTCTTTCCACCACCCCCCCCCCCCCCCCCCCCTCTTTTTTTTAAGTAGACTTCACACTCAGCATGGAGCCCAACGCGGGGCTTGAACTCACGACGCTGAGATCAAGACCTGAGCTGAGATCAAGAGTCAGATGCTCAACCAGCTGAGCCACCCAGGATCGTGATCCGGGGAAAGCCTGTGACACGGTCTGTTGATGAGTCCCCGACAAATATAACTGTAATCTCTCCCTCTAGTTTAGACTGAGCCACAGCCAGACAAAAAGCCACAGCAAGTTCCTCTAAGCTGCACACACTTGATCTGAATCCCTGTTCTCGGCTGCTTTAATTCCGCCTCCTTCCGTGCCGCTCTCGATAAATGGTCGTCGAACTGACTAGATATTATGCATCAGAGTTTAACAAGTCCTTTGAGGAAGGATCCCGAACACCTTTAAATCTCAAGACACTTCATAAATGTCGACGAAGTACACCGTACAAGCAAAAAGTGCTGCGTGGGCAAGGCAAACACCGTGAGAAGCTAGAATTCGCTCCCCAAGGGGCAAGAGAGGACTATCCGGCCATGTGCGGCCGGGAAGCCAGCCCGAAGCTCTTGCAATCATCTCTTTTATGCGCCTGGCACGCTGTGCCGGGGACCTTCCTGGTCCCCACTGGATGTGAAGTCTGGTGGAAGCCCCGTACTGTGGGAGCCGAAATAGGGATGCCTGGGCACCATGGGAGAACACAGAGAAGGGACACCGAGCCCAGAGGCTCAGGTGGGCCTGGGTTCGTGACTCAAATGCCCAGCAAAAACAGGAAGCAGAAGGCGTGTGGAAGGGCATCGTGAACACACAGGAGCTGGCACCGGCGCAGTGACTTTGGGCACCTGTGAGCACTTTGCTCAGCTGGCGTGAAAGATGTTAGGCTGGCCTCTACTTAAAGCTCACTCCAGCCGCGGAGGGGACAGATCTGTGACAGGCAGACCAGTTAGGAGGCGACTGCAGTAAGGAATGAGAATCTAAGACGTCAGGCCTGGCGCTTGGAAAAGCAGGCTTGAACCAGCAGGCCCCACGAGGTGACCCAGAGAGAGTCTAGAGTCAGTAAAATAAAGACCCCAGGCCAGGTCCCTGGGAAGTTCTGCCACTTGCAAGCTTGCGAGAAGAGAGCCCCCAGAGGGCCTGGGAAGGGAGGGGAGAGTCCCCCCTAACCACACAGACCTCAAGACAAGAGATGTGGGTCACCTGGAGGGCTCAGTCGATTGACTGTTTCAGGCCCTCGGTTTCCGCTCAGGTCTTGATCTCCCGATTCGTGGGTTCGAGCCCTGCACTGCTTGGGACTCTCTCTCTGCCTCTCTCTCCCTGCCCTTCCCCAGCTCGCACTCGCTCGCTCACTCTCAAAATAAATCAATCAACTTAAGAAAAAAAAAAAATCAAGAGATGTCACTAAGCAGAGGGAGGAGAAGCCTTCCAGGTGGGCGGGACACACGGCACCAAGTGCCCAGGGACTGAGCTGCACAGAGTATAAGGATAAGCAAGAACAACTTTAGTTGGGGGGAGGGAGGAGGGCAGGGGGGCGGTGGAGGGGGGGCACTAGGGTGAGTAGGAGGCAAGGAAGAGGCACCCTTTCTAGCAGGTTGGCTCCACAGGGACAGCACCACAGCTAGCCGGAGGGGACTGTCTTTAAACAGGGAAGGGGGCGCACAGATTTACTAGTGGACAGGAGATGCCAGGGTAGAGGTGGGGTGCTGGGGAGAGAAGGGGTGAGGGGAGGGGATGCACAGAACCCCCCGGAGGGCTCAGCCCCACGTAGTGCTGGGATGCAGGAGGGGGGTCCCTGGGACAAGGGGGTGCTGATGAACTCCAATTCCCCAGTGACAGGACTGTCACTTGCTCCAGCTGACAGGTTCCATGAAGATTTTCACATTTCAAGGAAAGCCATACATTCCCTATTTTCTGTGAAATCTCCAGATTTTTAAATGTGCCCAATTACCTCAAAAAAAAAAGAAAAAAAAGTGCAATTGTGGGGCACCTGGGTGGCTCAGTCAGTTAAGCTCTTGGTTTCAGCTCAGGTCATGATCTCACAGTTCGTGAGTTCAAGCCCTGTATCAGGTTCTGTGCTGGCAGCATGGAGCCTGCTTGGGATTCTCTCTCTCTGCCTCTCCTCCCTCTCTCTCTCTCAAAATAAGTAAACTTAAAAAAAAAAAAGTTTAATTGTTGTGCAAGCCCAAATCATGGCTACGGCCTGGACTGAGCCAACAGCCCTTGGTCGGTCCCCTATGATCCAGGACTTCCACTCTGCAGTTACTTGTTCCTCCGTCTCGCCCTTCACGTGGGTGCCTCCCCTCCAGGAGGCCTGAGAACATATTTCCTTTATAGTTTTTCCTTAAACCCTGGCTGATCTTCAGCAAGACCTGGATAGGAGCCCTTTAATCGTAAATCTCCGGCCTCGGCCCCACCCTGAACTCTTCATTTAATAGGCACTGTCCTATAGGGGGCGCCGGGGTGGCTCAGCAGTTTAAGCGTCCCACTCTTGATTTCAGCTCAGGTCACCGTCTCATGGTTTGTGAGTTCGAGCCCCGAGTCGACCTCTGCGCGGACAGCGTGGAGCCTGCCTGGGATTCTCTCTCCCTCTCTCTCTGCCCCTCCCCACCCCCGAAAAATAGACACTGTCCTATAAGCATGTAAACAATCCCCAGCAGCCTTCCTTTCAAAGGAAGCCCTCACTGTATGTAAACTAACTGGGGGGAAAAAAAGGGAGGGGGGGGCGCGGAGCAAGCCTTGACAATTCTTCTGTAGCAAGTGCATTCTCCACACGCTTTTCCAGAAGCCGAAGGGGGAGGAAGACTTGAATTCCTAGCCCCCGGGGAGGGAGAGACTTCTGCACCGCCGGGGAAGGCATGGTCCTCTGCAGCACTCCCATGAGCCCTCTGCTGGATGGAGGGTACCCTTCCCACAGCCATTCTTTCAGGCCCCCCTCCTTCTCTCACCTGCATTTGGGATGGAGATCGAAACTGCCCTGCTCGGTTGCCAGTTTCCTCGGGCTTAGTCTGGTCCTTGCATCCCAGTGCTGAAGGCTGTGGTGTGTTCTAACAAAGGACAAGGATTATCACAGGCCACTCTTCAGATCGTCCAACCGGTTAACATGTCTCAACGGGTGCCTGAAAAACCCCGAGGCCCCAACTCTGCCCCCCCCCCCCCCACCACATCCCAGCCCGGCCTCCTCCTCCCTCACTTGGACGCTCTGCCTGTGGGAGAGATGACAGAATCTTAAGAGAGCTGGCAAAAACTGAAAGACATCCTTCTGTGAAAGTCCAGTGAACCTCCTACGAGGGGGACAATGCTATCTAGGGTTCATCAGCTCAGCGGACCGGGTCCCCGTCCACGGGGATTTAAGGTACCACGTAACTCTGAGAACAAGTTGCTGTCGAGCGAAGGTGTGGAAAGGAGGGTTGTGAGTTACCGTCCGCTGAGCATCTTCTCTCTGTCCAGCACCGAGCTTGATGCTGTGGCACAGGAGTTCCAACCAGTGGACTCCACCGGAGGAGTTCCTGAAACTTTCGGTGGGAGAACTCCAATCCTGGATAACCATCCTGGATGGGGGCTCCCATCAGGAAGGCAGGCTCACCTGGCCACGGGATTCCCTGGCCGATGCCAGGATTCCATCTGGCAGCAACATGGAAACCAGTTCATGGAGAACATGATTGCTATCAGCAACTTCAACGGAATGTTCTTTCCATGGGTTTGCACAAGTTGAACATCATCCCAAGAAATTACTCTTCTCCTGGGAGAAAGCAACCTGGAGCTTGATGAATGGGATTCAATTTCAAACTGGTGAATCTTCTTATTCGTGCTTCCTTTTCACAGATGGTTTATCTCCCTTGCCCCAAGCTTTCAGAGGGATGTTGGGGGCACTTAAATTTTTCCTCACCATGAGTAATAAGAAGATCCCCCACTAGACTTTCCTAAGGGCTGGAACCATGGATTATTTGTCTTTGTGTCCCTGTTTGTAGAGCCTAGGACAGTGTCGCAGGTACTCTGGAAATGTTTGTGGCTTAGAGAGAGAAAGGAAGGAAGGAAGGAAGGAAGGAAGGAAGGAAGGAAGGAAGGAAGGAAGGAAAGAAGGAAGGAAGGAAGAAATATTCTTTCTGCTGAATGATAACACCAGTGGCATGAAAACTTCCAAGGCTCCTAAAACCTACACATAGATTAATCCGATTGCACCGATTCTTCTTCGTCCACAAATTTTCAAAAATTCTAATAGATTAATCAGGTATGAATTATTTTAGAGAAACAATCTTGCCTTTTCCATGTAGGGTTTGGTTGAGTAACTGAGCATGGAGTGATTCTTTCTTCTATTTTAATTTTTCAGTTTTCAATTATAAAATGAGACTCAGAAGCAGTCCAAATAACCACAGAAGAAAGGAATGTTTTTTCTTTCAGAAAGGACTGCATAGTAATGGCAAACACATCAGCCCTTACCACGTGCCAACCACAATTTAAATTGTGTGTTAACCCCTTGTGGCCACTGTGGAGACAGTAGCTACTCTTACTTCGTTTTACTCAAGAGAAAACAGGCTCAGAGAGTTTGAGTAACTTGCCCCAGATCACACAGTTAGGAAGTGGCAGAGGTAGGGGGAAAAAGTCCAAGCCAAAGTTATTAGAATATCCAAAATAAGGAGTGATCCCTGAAGAAAGTATGGTTCTTAGCTAAATATATAGATCACCTAGCAGCGTCCTGTTGGCGTACCTTGTGGCCAAAACTTGTGCGCTTTAGAAATAACAGAGTAAGGGGCACTTGGGTGGCTCGGTGGGTTAAGTGGCCGACTTTGGCTCAGGTCATGATCTCATGGTCTGTGAGTTCGAGCCCCACGTTGGGCTCTGTGCTGACAGCTCAGAGCCCGGAGTCTGCTTTGGATTCTGTTTTTGTCTCTCAAAAATGAATAAATATTTTTTTAAAAGAGAAAGAACAAAGTAATATTACTAAAACCAGCAAAATAAAGATCCTGTAGTAGCTGGACCGGATGAAAGGGCAGAACAGGAATTCTGTTCCAATGCACTTTAGAAAATGGAACAATCCAATTTTCAAGTAAATGGCTTTCTGACACAAACTTGCAAAATTAATCTGAAACCATCAAAACAAGTCACAACCCTTAAAATCCTAATACACCAAAGGAGGAAGCCATTATTCAATCCAGCCTTATTGGAGGCTGGTTCCAGCTTGGTTGAAGAGTAATAGAAAAGTCAGTAAATGATTCTTTTTTTTTTTTTTTAATGTTTATTTTTGAGAGAGAGAAAGACAGAGCGTGAGTTGGGGAGGAGCAGAGTGAGAGGGAAACACGGAATCCGAACCATGCTCCAGGCTCCAAGCTGTCAGCACAGAAGCCGACGCAGGGCTCAAACCCACAAACCATGAGATCATGACCTGAGCCAAAGTCACACGCTTGACCGACTGAGCCACCCAGGTGCCCCAGAGTCACTAAATGATTCCAAGCTAGATGTTGTCAGTAACAAAGAACCAGGCCTAGAGAAAACTTACAGGGGGGGAGAATCATTTATAGCTGCCATTTTTATATTATCCTGGATACAGAGGTTGAGAAGAATAGAGCAAAGAACACATGGAGTCAAGGTGGGAGTAAGGGAGGGAAATAGACACGAAATTTAAATAGTGTAAAATCCCAAATGCTCTCACAGCTTTTCCTCCTTTTAAAATGCACTTCTCGGGGCGCCTGGGTGGCTCAGTCGGTTAAGCGGCCGACTTCGGCTCAGGTCATGATCTCGCGGTCCGTGAGTTCGAGCCCCGCGTCGGGCTCTGTGCTGACAGCTCAGAGCCTGGAGCCTGTTTCGGGTTCTGTGTCTCCCTCTCTCTGACCCTCCCCCGTTGATGCTCTCTCTCTGTCTCAAAAATAAATAAACGTTAAAAAAGTTAAAAAAATGGAATTATAAAATGCACTTCTCACGATTCTTGGGTTCGAGCCCCGCATCAAGCTCTGTGCTGACAGCTCAGAGCCTGGAGCCTGCTTCGGATTCTCTCTCTCCCTCTCTCTCTGCCCCTCCCCTGCTCTCTCTCTCTCTCGCTCTCTCTCAAAAATAAACATTAAGAAAAATGCACTTCTCTGTGGAAAACATTGTCCGAGGTGATGTGTGAGCTTGGACAAGATTAAGGTGGGATCCAGCCCATGACATAGCTTCCGATGTACCCGAAGATGGCCCTGATGATAACCTCAGAGTCAAGCAAAGGACAAAACGAGCTGACGTGTTCCGAACTGATTAAAGGAGAAACCCAGAGGCAGAGAACATACTGCTGCTTGAGACTGGACCATGTGACATGTCATTCCGGGACACAGCCGCTGTGCGGCAGGAAGGGACATGAAGGAAGGCGAGGCTGTGGCGCCAAAGAACTCACTGGAACCGCTTTGAAGACAGATTAAGCAGGGAGAAGTGGAGGTCTACACCCTCCAAGACCCCAGATTCTTGTGTTTTACATCTAAAAGTCATGGGGCAGGGTGGGTGCCTGAACAGCTCAGTTGGTTAAGCGTCTGACTTTTGATTTTGGTTCGTGATCTCACGGTCCATAGGACTGAGCCCCATCTCAGGCTCTGCGCTGACCGTACAAAGCTTGCTTGGGATTCTCTCTCCCTCTCTCCCTCCCCCTCCCCCACTCACGCTTGCGCTCTCGTTCCAAATAAATAAATATATTTTTTAATTTTCTTAATAAAAATTTTTATGTTTATTTATTTTTGAGAGAGAGAGAGAGAGAAGTGAGCAGGGGAGGGGCAGAGAGAGAGAGAGAGAGAGAGACACACAGAATCAGAAGCAGGCTCCAGGCTCCAACCTGTCAGCACAGAGCCCGACGCAGGACCTGAACTCACGGACCGCAAGGTCATGACTTGAGCCGAAGTCAGCCGCTTAACCTACTGAGCCATCAAGGTGCCCCGAAAATTTTTTTAAAAATAGAAATAAATAAAGGTCATGGTGGAATATGGGGAGAAAACTGATCTGTACCTATTCCTGGTTATTACTCACTCCATGTAAAATAGTTACTAAGTAACAGAATACACAGCAATTAAATAGCATTATTACTATACATGTGGTTATGTTACTAATGTGAATCACTCACAATTTCCGGCCAAGAGGATTGAACCGAACATTCTTACTCTAACAATGAGATAATGGCTTTTGGCCAACAGATTGGGAAAAAAATAAGAGATCTCTGAAAACCAATAAGGGTATTGCAGCACCTGGGTGGCTCAGTCGGTTAAGCGTCTGACTCTTGGTTTCAGCTCAGGTCATAATCTCACAGTTTGTGAGTTCAAGCTCTGTATCAGGTTCTGTGCTGGCAGCATGGAGCCTGCTTGGGATTCTGTCTCCCTCTCTCTCTGCCCTCCCCTGCTTGCTCTCTACCTCTTCTCTCTCTCTCTCAAATAAATAAATTAAATTAAAAACCAGTAAGGGTATGGAGTGGGAACGTATGTGGATACAGCCTTTTGGGAGGGCAATTTTGAGTAGCTGTTAAAATGTGAGGGGCACCTGGGTGGCTCAGTTGAGCGTCCACCTCCTGATTCTGGCTCAGGTCACGATCTCACAGTTCATGGGATCGAGCCCTGCATCGGGCTCCACAATGAGTATGGCGCTTGCTTAGGATTTTCTCTCTCCCCCTGCCCCTCTCCCCTGCTCATAAACTCTAGCGTGCATGCGCTCACTCGCTCTCAAAACAAACAAACAAAAAAGATAGAAAAAAGTTAAATTTTTGTGGGGAGATGGGCAAAATAGGGAAAAAAAATGAAATCTTTGGAAATGTTCTTCGAGCCCCGCATCGGGCTCTGTGCTGATGGCTCAGAGCCCGGAGCCTGCTTTGGATTCTGTGTCTCCTTCTCTCTCTGCCCCTCCCCTGCTCGTGCTCTGTCTCTCTCTGTCTCTCAAAACTAAATAAATGTAAAAAAAAAAAAAAAAATTTTTTTTTTAAATACCTGCCTTGATGGAGCCTACATTCCAGTGGAATTTATGGCATATCCACTTTTCAGGGAGGGAGGTGACTCTGGGAGAGAGGCACGGGCTGATAACGACGTGCCTCGCGGCAGGGCCATGGCATCGATAGGCTCCAGTCATCTCTTCCAGGCCCGGGAAAGAGGAAGAGGCGAGAATGGTTTCAGGCCTTAGTGCAGACCCGCAGCCCCTGGCTGGCCCCTACTGAGCACCCTCCACGCCCGCTTCAGCCAGCTGCCCAACTTGGGGTGTCTGTAGTTGGCAGCCGTGGGGCCCCTGCCTGGAATGGTTTAAGGCCTTAGTGCAGACCCGCAGCCCCTGGCTGGCCCCTCACTGAGCACCCTCCACGCCCGCTTCAGCCAGCTGCCCAACTTGGGGTGTCTGTAGTTGGCAGCCGTGGGGCCCCTGCCTGGAGCCTCGGGAGGGATTGAGACCCAAGTGCGGAAAAAGGAAAGGGTGCCCCCCACCCCGCTCTGGTCTGGCTCAGGAGCTTGTAGCACCTCGGGGTAGCAGTGAGAGGCCCTCTTCTTCAGGGGGCCCCTTACAGTGAGGATGGCTGCCTCCGAGAGATTGGTTGGAAGGAGGGATAGCCCGGGTGCGGAGAGTGAGGGAAGGAGCCCTGAAGGACTGACAGGGCTCCACCACGGCCCAAAGCAGAGAGGACATTTCCCCTCGTGCGCCATCTGGAACCAGAGCACTGCGGCCGGCAGCCCTTATGGGGCCAGGAAGCTACGTGAGAGCCTGCTGGTCCTCAGCGCCCTCAGTCGCCTTCCTCCTCCCCTCTGTCCCCACACCAGGCCACCTGGCTTCCAGCTCTGCTTCCTGTCTACACCGAACAACACAGGGAACAGCGTAGGTGAGGTGACTCGCGAGAGGCCTAAGATTTAGAAAGTGGAATTAAGCTGATTGTGAGGATCACTTTGCAATGTATATAAATATCAAGTCATTGCGTGGCACACCTAAAACACAAGGTTATATGTCAATTATATCTCAATAAAACTAGAAAGAGAAAAAATGGAACAGAGGTGGTGGTTTATCCAAGAGATTAATAGTAGAATTTAAGGTGAGAAGGTTAAGAATGTAAGGTCTATACCCCAGAGCAACCTGCATTTCAAAGGGACAGCAAGGAGAATGTCCATGGTAAACACAAAGGAATGACTCACTAACAGTGAAATTGCAGACATCCTTGATGAGCCAGTGGGAAGACATTTCGGGCCAGGGTGGGTCTTTCCTGAGGCCTTCAAATCACACCTTATAGGCACTAGGCTGCCCCACCTGAACCCTGGCCCAGCCAGCTTCTCTGTCAAGCCAGTTCACACGGGCGCTGAAAGGCTGAGATAATCTGATTGGCCAGGAGATTCATGTTTGCTGTGGAAGGCTGGCTTTGCTAATGATCAAAGTCAGGTTTCAACCTGTTCCTCCCAAACCTACGTGCAGTCCCTCATAGAGCCCGACACAGGGCGTGGTGAGCAGCTTTGCAGAGCCCTCACGGTTTATAAAATCCAAGTGAGTTTTAAACCGCTCGGTAGTGGACACTGGAAATCAGGCTGGCTAAAGAACCACCTCCATCTCGTCTATTTTCCACTTAAAATTTTTGTTTAATGTTTATTTATTTTTGAGAGAGAGAGAGAGAGAGAACAAGTAGGGGAGGGGCACAGAGAGAGGGAGACACAGAATCCGAAGCAGGCTCCAGGCTCTGAGCTGTCAGCACGGAGCCCGACGTGGGGCTCGAACCCACTAACTGAGATCATGACCTGAGCCACCCAGGCTCCCCTTCTTTTCCACTTTAAATTAGGAGAATCAGCTGGAGGGTTCCTAACCCACCAATTCACATATCCTCTCGCCCTCAGCTGGGGAGTCCTTCCTCCCTCCAGGGCCCTGCTGTCTGTAGGTAAGGAACCAGCACAAACACCCAGTCAGCTGCCAAAGGACAAGTCTGTGTTGGGCTGGAAATGGGATCTCTTTCTTGACAAACGGCCATCGCTCAAACACGCTGCACCACACGAAAACACACAATTGCATACCACTTCCCCAGGAGGTTTCTGATCTCAGTGCCTCAAAATCTACTTCCTAGAAGGGCTTTGCCCAAACCTGAGAAAGATAAACACGTTTACCACACTCCGGCCCTGCTGTCCTCGAAGGAGGCTCCGGAAGGCGTGCGTGTGAGCGCCGTGTGCAGGGGCACCGCAAACGCTTTTGTGCGCTCACATGCCTGGACGTCACAGCCAAGTGCTTCCCGGCAAAATACACAAGGGCTTTGTCTCATTCTGCAAAGGTCTGCACTGGCAACGGGGCCACTGCCGCTGTGTTTGTCCAGCTCAAAGAGGAGAACGGCAGGGTGGGGGTGACGCAGTTTGTCGCAACAAAGAGAAGGGCAGCCCCACCTTGCTTCAGGTGGAAAACACAACTCTCCACATCCTGGCTAGGCTTTCCGGTCAAAAATTTCACTAGGAAGGAAGGGAGGGAGGGACCAGAAGGAGGGGGGGGGGGGGTTGTGTGTGCAAAAGAAGGCGCTTTCTTTGTATTACTCTCTGAGTAAAACAAAGCCTGGTCGGAACACTCAGAATCTCATCAGAAAGACATTTTTTTCTTTTTAATTAATAAAAACAGGAGCGCCTGGGTGGCTCAGGCAGTTAAGCATCTGACTTCGGCTCAGGTCATGATCTCACGGTTGGTGGGTTCAAGCCCCGGGTCAGGCTCCGTGCTGACAGCTCGGAGCCTGGAGCCTGCTTCGGATTCTGTGTCTCCCTCTCTCTCCGCCCCGCCCTGTTCTGTCCCCCGCCTCTCAAAAATAAAATAAATATTATAAAAATAAATTAATTAAATTTTAAAAAATAATCATTGGGAACAGAAAAATCAAAAGTCAATTCCCAGACTCGGGCAATGAGTCACGTTTCAGATGCCAGCCACCGGTTTTGGAGCAAAGTGATCAGATTTAGGGAGCCCCTCCTCCTCGCTTCAATTCTTGGTCATCAGATCTCCACTGCAATTCTGGTGGGGGCTATCTGGAACCTCCCCCCAGCCCCACTCCTCCTCTCCAACCAACCCCCTGCAGGCCTCATCTGCATTCAGCATCCCCCTCTGCCCTCTGCAACCACCATCTCACCTCCTGGGTCTCCAGGCTTTTCTTTTACGTCCTTTCCCACCCCAGAGAGGCAGTCCCGCACACGGGCAAGGTGTGGATTTTGAAGTTTGCTGACAGGCGGGCTGCACGCTTCCCATCCTTGCTGAAGTCAAATCAGACTCATCAACTGCTCAAGGAGAACAGCTGATTTGCAAAACCCCTTAGCAGTAACTTACCAGAGAACCAGTTCTGGTGTGTGTTTCTTTTGTTGATTTTCTAGGTTTTGTTTTGTTTGTTTTTGTTACCCAAGTAGAGGCTGAGCGTTGGAGATAGGGTGGAGACCCGGGAAATACACAAGAGTGGGCAGCGGACAACTGGAGTTCATGTTGCTAAGGGGAAGTGTATGAAGTGACAAAATAGCGATAGAAGGGCTTACTGAGTTCCTGCCGTGTGTTGTGTGCCTGGCACTGTGCCGCAAGCAGGCTGCGTCCCTCCCTCACAGAGCTGACAGTCTGATGGGGGAGGCAGACAGACAAGCAACTAGTCACTGACAATTCAGTATGAATAATGCAGAGCACAGGAAGCCACAGACCAGCACGAATGCACAGGCACGTGGGGGGGTGTGGGGTGGGGGTGGGGGGTAGGGAAGAAGAATCCCAGGAAGAAATGCCGCCTAAACTGAAATCCAACGGATGGGGGAGAGAAACCTGCTTAAAAGTCAGGGGGCTGGAGACAGCAGGGAATGTTAAAGAGCACTGGAAACAGCTGCGTGGGGCTCAGAGGCCAGCTTGAGGCTGCCGGGGTTGACAATGGCCAGAGTGAAAAGCAGGGGAGGGCTTGGGAGACCACGGAGCCAGAACACGGAAAGGCTGAGACGGACACAGTGCTCAGAGCCACCTCCAAGACCTTTTCCTACCTGCGTGAACCTGCCTGTGGCTCAGGCCGTCTCAATAAAGCATTCCTATTCACTCTTATTTAGTGAGAGCTCATCAGATACCCATGAACACAGAACAAGAGTCCAGTCCATGTCTGAACAGAGTAAGCAGGAGACACTCCCCGTTCCCCATGTTTTTTCCTGTACTTGCTTCTGCAACCAGAAAAAGACTAGCAAAGGTCCTCCGTGATGACGTAACAAGGACACGGCAAGCAAGCTTCGTGGGACACACAGGATCCAACCATTTCCCCTGCAGAAATGGTCAAACACCGAAAGTGAATGTGTTTGCAGGATGTAGTGTGCAGGCTTCCCACCCAGCTTGCGGGCAAGGTCGGGGATCGCTCCCTGGGGGCAAGAACCCTAGTCATCCAAGGTGTTTATTTCCTTTCGGTAAACAGTAATGTGTAATTTCCCATTTCTAGGGACAATGATTACTTCAAACAAAGGGCAGTCACCAAAAGCGGTGTTTAGGAGGGAGCGGTTTTCCTCCATAAGAGGGATTGAAGTTCAGTGGGGATTAAAAAAAAAAAAAAAAAAAAAAAGCCCTTGGCTAAAAAAAGTGTTGTCTCTTAGATCTGATTCAAATACAAGTGATTTTTGGAAACCCAGGGTGTCCAAATACAGAAAGAAGACGAAAAAGCCACCTCCTCCCCGGCCCGGGGCCTCCTGGATTACCAGCCCAGACCCCCTGCCCCGAGCGGGGTGTGCTCACCTTGGCACTCCTCCTTCCCCACAGCTAAATTCCTAGAATTTATTTTCTAGGAATTTAGACAATCCGCAATGGCTGCCTCCACTCTCTCACTTGACCTCCCTAATCTGCCTGAAGGGCCCACTTGAAGTTCAAGTTGTGAACTGAGCTTGCACTGTTACAAGTACAAAATGCCCGGCCATTATTCCATCCTGACTGTTCTCATTCCAACCCTCCCCACCACCTGGCCACTGGACACAGAGGATAGAGGCCAGGATGGCCGCCGTGCCCCCTGGGGGAAACCACACATTCAGGTGAGGATGCAGAGCCCAGGCCACAGGCTGAAAAGGCCGGAGGTTGTTAAAAGCCGGGCCAGAGTGGAGACCTCAAGACAGGTAGGGGTCAAATGCCCCACTACGACCCTGAAAGCTGAGCTCTCAGGGCCCCAGTGGGGAAAACAAGACCTACCTCTGCGGCTTGTGAGGCTTTGCTAAAAGGCTCTCCTGTCCCCAAATGCCTGGAGCTGGCCCGCCCATCGGTCTGAAATAAACACCTTAAGGGACCCATCCCTGGAGCCCAAAAGCCCCCTTTAAAAAATTTTTTTTGGGGCGCCTGGGTGGCGCAGTCGGTTAAGCGTCCGACTTCAGCCAGGTCACGATCTCACGGTCCGTGAGTTCGAGCCCCGCGTCGGGCTCTGGGCTGATGGCTCAGAGCCTGGAGCCTGTTTCCCATTCTGTGTCTCCCTCTCTCTCTGCCCCTCCCCCGTTCATGCTCTGTCTCTCTCTGTCCCAAAAATAAATAAATGTTGAAAAAAAAATTTTTTTTTAATTTTTTTTTAATGTTTATTTGTTTTTTTAAAGAGAGTGCAAGCGGGGGAGGGGCAGAGAGAGAGAGGGGGACAGAGGATCTGAAGCAGGCTCCTCCCTGACAGCAGCGAGCCTGAGCCCCATGCGGGGGCTCAAACTCATGAACCGTGGTGAGATCACGTCCTGAACCTAAGTCGGACGCTCAACCGACAGACCCACCCAAGCGCCCCAGCCCTCTTTTTTTTTTTAATTTAATTTAATTTAACTTAATTTTATTTCATTTTTTAATATAATTTATGGTCAAGTTGGCTAACATACAGTGTATAGAGTGTGCTCTTGGCTTGGGGGGATAGATTCCTGTGATTCATCACTTACATACAACCCCCAGTGCTCATCCCAACAAGTGCCCTCCTCAATGCCCATCACTCATTTTCCCCGGCCCCCTGGCCCCCACCCCAGCAACGTTCAAGTTTGTTCTCTGTGTTTAAAAGTCTCTTATGGGGGCGCCTGGGTGGCGCAGTCGGTTAAGCGTCCGACTTCAGCCAGGTCGCGATCTCGCGGTCCGTGAGTTCGAGCCCTGCGTCGGGCTCTGGGCTGACGGCTCGGAGCCTGGAGCCTGTTTCCGATTCTGTGTCTCCCTCTCTCTCTGCCCCTCCCCCGTTCATGCTCTGTCTCTCTCTGTCCCAAAAATAAATAAACGTTGAAAAAAAAAAAGTTAAAAAAAATAAAAAATAAAAAAAAATAAAAGTCTCTTATGGTTTGCCTCCCCCCCTCTCTAACTATTTTTTCCCCTTCCCTTCCTCCATGGTCTTCTGTTAAGTTGCTTTAAGTTGCACATATGAGTGGAAACATACGGTATCTGTCCTTCTCTGACGGACTTATTTCACTCAGCATAATACCCTCCAGTTCCATCCACGTTGCCGCAAATGGCAGGATTTCATTCTTTCTCATTGCCAAGTAGTACTCCATTGTATATATAAACCACATCTTTTTCATCCATTCATCAGTTGATGGGCCCAGCCCTCTTCTTAAATGTAAATATCCTAAGTATTAACATCTATGGCGCAGTCACTCTCCAACACAGCATTTCTTGAGGGAAGTCCGGCCTAAGGAAAGAGCTAGCTAGCATCCCTCCGTCCCTCCTCAACTGGGTAAGGAGGCCAGCTCTCCTGGAAGCCATTGGAGGTGTGGCCTTGGCCTCGAGTACCTTCCTTCTGAACAGCCCCTCCCCAGAGTCTTCTGTCCCCAATTCCCTACCAACGGTGCCCCTCCCCCAGTCCCAGCCGGCCACCATCGACACCTTCACAGCAGCCCTGAGGTGGGTAAAACTCAAGCCTGGAAAAAGGTCCACGGACCGGACCGAGGATGGCCCGGTGACTGGCACATCGACAGAACAGGGTGGGGTGGCAGACGCTCCCTGGATCTGGCCCTCTCCCCTCTGCTTTCCTCCCTCCCTCCCCTCTACTCCTCTGGGATGCAGTTGCTGTGGGAGGCTTTTACTCTCTGGACACCGGCAGGCCCCGTGATTACAGTATGGGGGGGAGGGGGAGGGGGGGGAGGAGGGCCGAAGGGTGTCATATGGTTTGGGGCTGAAGCCAAAAACAGAAGTTAGGCTGGAGTTTGGGGGACAAAGTGACATTGCATGTTCACTGTTTCTGAAGTTCTTTTGGGGAGCCAGGAGAGGCTTATGGAGGCGAGGCTAAGCTGCCCCTTTGCTTGCTCCCTGCGCGTTCTCTCTTCTCACCTCCCCTCTACACGCACTTGCACGCTCCCAGCTGCTCATTCCAATCTCCCTCCTCCCCTCTCTCCTCCTAGCACTTTGCTCCTCCCAGCTGCCTTCCCGCTCCAGGCCCCCAGGCCCTGCTCTTCTGCTTTCCCTATAGATTTCTGCTTCCGTCTTCCCTGGAGCCCCCATCATCTCCAGAATAAAGGGCCAGTGGTCCCAGCTGGTGGGGGCCTCAGTTCCTTCCCCTGGGGTGGGGTGCGGGTGGCGGGTGGATGGGGCTGCTGCGCTCTCACCCTGGAAGCAGGGAGGTCCTCACAGCGCAGATTGTTAGCAAGCCTCCGGTTCTAATTGGCCACAGCCCTGGAGCCATCAGGGCCAAAGAATAAAAAAGGGAGGCTCTCTCCACAGTCTGAGAATGACTCTTCTCTGAATCCCCTTCACATTGCCGGCCCCCCCCCCTCCCCTCCACGCCCCAGAGAGGGAGGTCAGCCCCACAGGGCCCCAGCTGGCCAGAGGGCTGTGCGCAGGCCTTGGCCTGCATTCCCAGGGCTGTGGGGCAGCGAGGCCAAGGCCGCTGGCTGGAGCCAGCCCAGAGGTCTCCATGCTGCCAGGACAGCGATCAGGGACAGGCAGTGGGGCTACTTATAATGCAAATGCTTTGATTATAGTTACTCCCTTGTTTATCATCAGCCTGGAAGAGGGAAGACTCTGGAGAGGAAGAGACCCTGGGTAACACTGAGCAGGAGCAGCGGGGCTGGCAGCAGCTGAGGGGGCTGAACCACTTTGCTTGAGGCCCGGAGTCTCCCTCCTGCTTCCAAAATGGGCAAATTGATTAAGAGCCTTTTCTTTTCCTTTCTGGGCTGGACCAGAAAGCAGCTAAGCTCCGTGGTCTTGAATTTCGTTCCAAGTTCCCCACCCTTCTCTTGCTCCCCTCCAACCTCCCCACACACTTCACTTCCACCCTTTCCTCCTGTTCCCTTTGCTGCACTGTGTACCCCACAATCCTCTCCAGACCTTGAAACAGTTATAGACTGTTTTTAACACAGTCTTTCCCGTAATCAGAGCAAGCAGAAAGCACGGCCTTCTCAGTCAGACCAGACCCAGTTTGAATTCTGCTGCATTCTAGCTGTGTGACCCTGAACACATTGCTTAACCTCTCGGAGCCTCTGTCTGCCTGTAAGTAAGAAAGAGTACCCACTTCTTGGGGTTGTTGTAGAAGTCAAAAGAGACAAAAAGCACGTACAATCATATAGAATGCCTAACACAAAGTATTCAAGAGTAATCACTAACACATAGTTTTTACTTTATGCCAAACACATTGCAATGCTAGGAGAGAGAGGTACCATATCATCCCTATTTTATAGAGTAGGAAACTGAGGCACAGAGAGGTTTAATCACTTGCCCAAGATCATACGGCTAGGAAGATAGCTATTATTATTATTCCCCTACGAGACGATAAGCTCATTGAGGAGAGAGGCTTTGCACATATGTATTTAATATCTACTTTAGGGATGTCGTTGAAAGGTCAAGGCCCTACAAATTTCAAGAGACATCTTCCATTTCCTAAAACCTCCCCAGAAAAAGATCCCCAGTTTCCACAGGGAAACAGCAATAGCATCATGGGAAAAGGGGGGGCAAAAAACACAATTTTTTTTTAAGTCGGAAGGTTTGCATTGACCTATCAGAGTCACCTATTCCCAGCTCTGTGAGTTGAGACGGATCGCTTCACCTCCCCTAACCTCACCTTTTTTTATGCCTCCTTGCCCACAGAGCTGAGAGTCCGGTGTGAGATCTCAAGTGATAAGGCACTTTGTGGACTGGAATGTCCTGTCCAAAGAGAGGGGTTTTTCATTCTTAACCCTTCCCAGCCCTTGGCCCCCTTGCTGGGAAGCGTTTCCATTAAGGCCAGGCCTCTCGAGTGTGTGGTGGAAAATAACAGAGGTTTTTTTAAAGGGAACTGAAACCGCACTCCTCAGCAGAATGTTCCCCACACATTCGCTGTGGCCCATGACGGAGTCTCTACATTCAGCTTTGAGAAGCGCTTGTGGGTCCCGGCTGCCGGCCACCGCAGGGCTATTCAGAGGCTGGTAAACAGCACATGGCATTCTCCGCCTATGGCAAGCATTCATGCACCGAATTCTTTGTCCTCGTGAGGAGAGACAGAGAGCTACTCTGTGCTGCAAAACCAGAACCCCGTTCGCAAAAGCCCCGGCCGGACAGCACGCCAAGGCTGGGGCCCACATGCCACCAAGCCCTTGTGCGCTTGCGAAATAAACTTGCCCGAACTTGGACTTCTCTCAAAAAAAAAACTTGAGTTAACTTGTTAATTCCAAAGGGAAAGCATGACACTGTTACCATGGAGAAGCTTGGCCATCTGCTCCTTAATCAAGAGCTCCAAGTCCTGCGGGTCCTGAGAAGCGATCCCACACCGCTTCCGTGGTATTCCTGCCCCCAGTGCATAACCCGAATCTAACCAAGAGGGAAACAAACATCATCACACAAACCCAGGCCGAGGGACGTTTCTAGAGGACAACCAGCCCCGCATATTAAAAAAATATTAATGTCGCCCCCACCCCCTGGGTGGCTCAGTCAGTTAAGCATCTGACTCTTGGTTTCGGCTCAGGTCATGATCTTAGGGTTCATGAACATCATCGGCTCTGCCCTGACGGTGTGGAGCCTGCTTGGGATTCTCACTCTGTCCCTCTGTCTCTGCCCCTCCCCTGCTCACTCTCTCTCTCTCTCTCTCTCTCTGGCTCTCTCTCAAGAATAAATAAATTAAAACTTAAAAAAATATATGAAAATCTTTTTTAAAAAATATCAGTGTCATGAAGGGCAACGAAAAGCTGAGCACCTGTTCCAGATTGAAGAAACCAGATGGAAGACACCAGGAGAACTGAACGTCAGGTGGGATTGTGGACATGGGTTGAAACCAAAATGGGAATAAAGACCTTGGCAAAAGGCAGTGGTTGGGCAGTTAATAAAACTTACAAATGGACTGTATGTCAGATAAGAATATTTTACCAGTGTTTTCTTTTAATTTTTTTTAATGTTTATTTATTTCTGAAGGAGAGAGAGAGACAGAGCGTGAGCAGGGTAGGGAGAGAGGGAGACACAGAATCCAAAGCAGGCTCCAGGCTCCAAACTGTCAGCACGGAGCCTGACACAGGGCTTGAACCCACAAACCGCAAGATCATGACCTGAGCTGAAGTCGGACACTTAACCGACTGAGCCGCCCAGGCGCCCCTTATCAATGTTAAGGTTTCTGAATTTGCTGATTGTATTGCGTTATTAAACAGGATGTCCATGCATGCTAAAGTATTTGGGAGTAAAGGGTCGTGGCGTCTGCAATTTACTCTCAAACGATCTGGCAAACCTGATGCTACTGATAACCTGTACATAGATTAAAACAAACGAGGTACGGGGCGCCTGGGTGGCTCAGTCGGTTAAGCGTCCGACTTCAGCTCAGGTCACGATCTCACGGTCCGTGAGTTCGAGCCCCGCGTCGGGCTATGAGCTGATGGCTCGGAGCCTGGAGCCTGTTTCCGATTCTGTGTCTCCCTGTCTCTCTGCCCCTCCCCCGTTCATGCTCTGTCTCTCTCTGTCTCAAAAATAAAATAAATGTTAAAAAAAAACAAAAACAAAAAACGAGGTAACATTGGTAAAAATCTAAGTGAAAGGCATATGGATTGTCCTAGGTATCGCTCTTGCAAGGTCTCTGTAGGTTTAAAGCCAAATAAATACACTTTTAAAAAGAAAAAAAAGGAACATCGGGGGCGCCTGACTGGCTCAGTTGGAGGAGCATGCGACTGCTATCTCAGGGTCGTAGGTTTGAGCCCCGCGTCGGGGGTAGAGGTTGCTTAAAAACAAATTTTTTTTTTTTAAGTTAAATAAACAAAAATGCCCCAACGGACAAAGAAATAAAGGAACATCAGTTACATGCACAGCTGCATCTCCCAGATACTAATTCACGTCGGCTAATGTGCAAGGGCAGGGCGATGAGAGCCAGCAACGTGCTAAGTCCCAGTGGAACACTGGAGACATAGCAGAAATTCACTAAAGACATAGCAGTAATTCACTAACGCTGCTATTGCTGGAAACATTTGATCCAACCTACCAACCTCACAGGAAAATTAGTTACATTATATTATAATCACACCTTGCTTTTGACCCCAAACAGTTCCACGCACCTAATTAACCTTACTTCTGAAAGGATCATAAACAGCTAGAACTGGCAGCGACCTTAAAGAATGCAAGCCTGAGCCATGTTACAAATGAGGAAACCAAGGCTGAGAGAGGAACCTTAATGTGCCCAAGGTCGCGGCTAATTCCGTTTACTCCCAGGCCAGTACCGCTTTCCAGGCTCTGTCCTGACAACCCTGGAGTATCTTCCCCCAACTTTTGGCTATTGGCAAAACTTCAAGACAAGAAGACTTGTGTTTCCCCAAGGGGAAAAAAAATTTTTTTTAATGTATAGGTGACATTGGGAGCCTTTTGAAAAGAGAGGGAACAAATATATTTTTTTATTTTTTTAATGTTTATTTTTGAGAGAGAGAGAGAGAGAGAGGCAGAGTATGAGCAGAGGAGGGGCAGAGAGAGAGAGAGAGGGAGACACAGAATCTGAAGCAGGCTCCAGGCTCTGAGCTGTCAGCACAGAGCCCAATGCGGGGCTCGAACTCACGAACCCTGAGATCACAACCTGAGCTGAAGTCGGATGCTTAACTGAGTGAGCCACCCAGGTGCCCCATGTGTGTGTGTGTGTATTATTTATTTTTTTTCAATATTTATTTTTGAGAGAGACAGAGTGTGAGCAGGGGAGGGGCACAGAGCTAGGGAGACACAGAATCCGAAGCGGGCTCCAGGCTCTGAGCTGTCAGCACAGAGCCCAACGTGGGGCTGGAACCTACAAACTGCGAGATCATGACCTGAGCCGAAGTCAGACGCTTAACCAACTGAGCCACCCAGGCGCCCCTAAGTGTGTTTGTTTAAAACAAAAATTGGGGGCGCCTGGGTGGCGCAGTCAGTTAAGCGTCCGACTTCAGCCAGGTCACGATCTCGCGGTCCGTGAGTTCGAGCCCCGCGTCGGGCTCTGGGCTGATGGCTCAGAACCTGGAGCCTGTTTCCGATTCTGTGTCTCCCTCTCTCTCTGCCCCTCCCCCGTTCATGCTCTGTCTCTCTCTGTCCCAAAAATAAATAAACGTTGAAAAAAAAAAATTTAAAACAAAAATTGTCCTGGTACTTTGTGATCAAATACATCCCAT